ATTACAGACATTGATAAAGCGATACATTCACAATCCAAGGGTATATCACATTTGATATTTTTATAGCGTTTCATTTGAAATAACTACCATCATCAGAGACAACAATTTTAAATTACGGTCCTGTCGTTACTTCTTTTGTAAATTGTTTCGATTTCTTCGAAATATAATTCAGACAACTCAATAGGTTGGTAGGTAGGATGAAAATTCGTACTTTTTCGTTTTGGAGATTTTTGTATTGCCGTAATCCTTCTTTCAAGACTAATTTCTGCATAATCAATATTAATTCGTAATAGTTTTATAATTCTCAATCCTGGAAGTTACGACAATATCAGTTTTTGGTCAAAATTTGATTGTTGTATAATTTGGTATGATCAAATAGTGTCTCAATTCATTTACCATTTCAAACGCGTAGGCTTTGCTTTGCAAACAAGAATTGCATTTACCGGATACCATGCGAGTGCGGAGAATCATACATCGGTGAAACTAAGAGGCCGTTGAAAGTTCGCATTGCTGAGCACAAGAAACACACACAGCGAGGATGAACCAGCAAATCCAAAATAGCAGAGCATGTTTGGACTCATCAACACAACATCAAGTGGGCTCAAGCTGAAATCATCCACAAAGAGGAACACTGGTTTAGAAGAAAATTGAAAGAAACCGCGTATATGTTGTCCAACAACGCATTTAGTCAAGCTAGCGTAGAGATACGTAACATATGGAAACCTCTAATCAAGCGAAAAACGACTAACTCCTGATCCTGAATGTATCGCTTTAGCAATATCTGTATTAAAAAATACAGGTCCACATTAAAAAAAACAGTTGATGGTGGTCATGTTGACACGAAAGATTCTATCAAATAATTACTATTACATTGTCATATCACACTTCGAATATAATAACATTTTTTTCCATTTCCTGATATTCTCCGAAATAACAAATTCCATTCGAAAAAAACGAAAAACAGCATTTTTGATTTTCCCCGTATAACTCGAGAAGGCGAGAGTCCTCCTAAATTTTCTTCAACCATTGTATTGTTCCCGATGACAGTTATATTTTTTCCATTTTATTCGTCTTCGTATCTGTTACGTTTTAGTTTAATTCTAATTTGTTACCACATAATAAAAAACCGTCTGTATAATCAAACTGAGAGAGCACTCAACATTTGCTGCTTTTCCATGCATTTTCTCAAATTACCAAAAGATGTAGAGAAAATACCAGAAATTGAACAAAAACACAACATTGGAAATTATTCCAGCAAATGAAAATTACAATAATAATACAAATTAAAACAAAATTTAAACTTTTCAGTTTTGAAACAATTAAATGAGATAAATGAGTATTGATGAGTCTTCGAAATGCATTCAATGAGAAACTAGCTATCATACAATCTGGTGAAAAGTTGTAGACTTTTACAGATTAATATGAAAAGGACCTTTAGTAGAGTACAATTTTTTGTATAAACGATGTAGATCAATTCTTTTCAGAAGTTTAGATGTTAGATAAACTGGAGCATTAGCACTGTTATTCAGTTTGTATATTAGGCAGCACAAATGCATAACAGTTTCTTTCACACCCATTTTGTAATTTCTGAAGGCTACTCCTGTCCCCAGATTTCAGTTCAGGCAGAATAATATATCGTAATATGTAGGACCAGACATAATTGAAGAGTCACAAAACCTGAGTTAAATATCAACGTTAAGAATATCCTTGTACATTTTCAGCATT